GCGTATGTGTGTTTGAAGGTGTAGATGTATATGTTTTAGTGTGAGGGTGTGTATAGGGTGTGCAAAAGAGAAATCAACAAAGTGATAGAAAGAGAGAGAGGACAGTGTATTGAGGTTGATGGGACCTATACTCTAGAGTCCATTAATGTAAGAGGAGTCTGACTGATTTTGTGGGCAGTATGAGTCATGGAAGGATTTGAGTAGAGGTAGATCTATGATTTTGGTGTTTAGATATACGTTTTTAGGGAGTGGCTTGGGAGAGAACAGTTGTGAGGTGATTTTAACTGTCTCTTGTAAGCATTTCATGAATAGATGAAATACAGTCAAGCACTCATACCTCTTTGAAAGGAGAGTCACAAACATCTATTAACCTCGTTTCTTCCAGCCTCTCGCAGCCTCTGTGACATCGCTATGGATTTAACCAGACCTTAAGGGATGAATATTAACTTATGACAGTTTCTGGAGATGAAATTATCTTTTCCTCTGAGAAAATATTGGCTGAACGTTTTGATAAGTAATCACTGCTCTGTCACAAAACACTTCCTAGGAGCTGAAGAGGAATTAGATTTCTAAAAGCACAGCATTTAAATTTTATTAGTAAGAACAGATTAAAAAATCATTACAAAGTTAATTTCCCCTTTCTCCACTTCTTTTAACAAAATCACTTTTCTCCATTAGAGGTCAATTATTTTTCTTTGTCCTCAAAACTTCAGTTTATTTGCTGAAAACATTTAAAGGTTTATCACCAAAATCCAGTTTATTTTGAAGATAAAGATTTTTTTTATTCTCCCACACAACCTAGTTGGGGGAATTTGGGACTGTTTTCAAGTCCAAAATTCATGATAGAGATAAAAATCATCTGCCCACACCTTCTTCTTGTGTATAGGGTGTTTATAAGAATGAAAATAGTGCTAAGAATAGTGTCTAATAATCTCTGGACCTAGAGGTTATCGTACTAAATGAAGTCAAGTCAGACAGAGAAAGACAGATGTCATATGATGTCACTTATATGTGGAATCTAAAAAAAAATGATACAAATGACTTAGTTACAAGACAGAAATAGACCCACAGACATAGAAAAGAAATTTATGGTTACCCAAAGGGAAAGAGAGGGAGGGATAAATTAGGAGTTTGGGATTAGCAGACACAAACCACTGTCATCGAATGTTACAGACTCTGCTAAGTGTGGTGTGTTCATTCATTCCATCAACACCTATCCAGCTGCGCCAGGCCCTGAGTTAGAAGCTGTGGACATAGAAACCAACTAATATACATATATATTAATATATATAATATAATATATATATATATATCCCTGCTAGACTGAGGAATCACAATCTAATGAGTGAAACATATACACAAACACATAGGTTGTTGAGGTATAATATTGTTAAGCAAATGAAAATTAGGTATTTAAATCAAATCAAGGATTTGTGAATGAAATGTTATGACGTCTGAGATTTCCTTCAATATAATATGGGAGGAGTGGTTGGGAGTATAAATGAGACAAGATTGACCATGAGTTAGTCGTTAATGAAGCTCGATAACGGGAAGATGGAGATACATTCTAGTATTTTACTTTTGTATGAGTTAAAGTTTTTCCATAATAAAAAAAAGAAAAAAAAGAATGGAGGGGGCAAGAAGCTTCCACTTTTGGGAAAGTTATATATGGACCCATGTTCATGATGATTTCTTCATTTCTTTTTCCATTCTGGATAACAGACTAGATTAACTCTTACGGCAAATCTCAGCTCCTTAACTGGACCTGCAAGGCTTTGCGTCATCTGGCCCCTGCCAGCCTGGAGGGCTCTTCCTGCCTCTGCTCCCTCTACCCCCTCATCCACTCATCTTGGATTTCCAGTCTCAGCTTAAGTACCACCTCTTGGGGAAGACTTATGTGATTTCTTTCCCCCTTTTTCCAGTCTTAGACCCATATTTTTTTCTTCCTCCCAGTTTGTACGATGTATATTTTTATGTGGTTATTTGACTCATGTTTGTCTTTCCAATTAGCATAAAAATTCCTTGCAAGTAAAAATTGTGCTGCTTGCGCTACAGTACCCTTAGTGCCTAGCGCAGTGCTTGCACCTAGTAGCCGCTCAGTAAACATTTATGGAGTAAACGAATCTCTGTTAAGCCTGTCTACAGACTCCAGGCTCAGTTATGTAGTCCTTTGTAAATAGGAACATAGGAGGGGAAAGTGAAGGATGTCTGTTTCTCCCCTATCTGGTATATAAAATCCTGGAGTTGAGATTTTTGGCGTTTGGAACAGGAGCCTTTCAGACTCAGGGAAGGAGGTAAGAGCTCTCAGGATCTAGGGCAATGTTTACACAGCAGCTTCAGCTCCTAATCAAGTTTTCCCACCACCACTTGCTTCCACCCTCGTTGGCTGACCCACGGGTGCTTACGTAGACGTGTTGGGAAGGGAGAGAGGAACTCAGAGGAGATTCAGGAAGTTATTGCACTCTTGGAACTCATAAACCTTTGCAGCCTCTCTCTCTCCATGAGTCAGCCTTGGGCTGGAAGCTTTGCCTGCCTCCCATGGTGTAGGGTATGTGACATGGTCAGTGACATCACCAAAGATTCTGCTGGCTAAACGGGCTTTGCCTCTATTTATGTTACCTTGGGACTTAAGGAGCTGTCTCCGAAAGGAAGAAAGGGTCTTGGAGCAATGACATGATTACTGCAGATCAATTAATAGAAACACTAGTGGGAAAGCACCTTTGGATTCATATAGTTCCATGGTATAGCTCTGGATCCACCACTTACTGGCTGTGCAAGTTTGGGCAGTTTACATAACCTCTCTGTGCTTCAGTTTGCTGAACTGTGATGCTGGAATAATAATCCTTACCACGTGGAATCTGTAGGATTAAACTAAGTGGTAATATTGGCACATTTCCCGACTACACAGACATGCCCAAAAATGACATTATTATAAGTATAACATCAAATGCTGTGGTGGAGATGTGAGCAAAGTTCTCTGTTACCAGGGAAGACAGGAATGCTTTTACAGATTAGGTGATAGTTGAGCTGTATCTTAAATGCCACCTACAGTAATAAAATAATAGCAGCTGCCACGATGTTACAGGTTAAGTTCTGTGCTCAATGCTTCAAGGACATTTTTGGCTCATTCAAATCTCACTACAGTTCTGAAAGCATATCCTGTTGCAATCCACATTTTACAGATAGAGAAAGCAAAGCTCAGAGAGGTTAAGCAACTTTCCCAAGGCTGCTCAGCTAATGGATGAAGCCAGGATTAGCACTTAGTTCTGTGTGACTCCAAAAGCCATTGTCTTACCCACTGAACTGCCCAGGCTCTTTTGAAGGCTATGTTTGAGTTTTCTAAGGGAGATGAAAAAGAAAGAGATGGGTATAACATGTTCCAAAAGGAAGAGCCTGGATATCTCTTTATCTATTTGCATGTTTATTATTATTGGCTTGGTCTTTGTCCAGCAGCTGACTGATGGTTCCAACAAGGCAGGAATCGTTCTGTTTTATCCCTCATTGTTCCCGGGCTGGTGTCAGCACACACATAGCTGGTGTTCAGTAAATCTATGTTGAATGAATTAAGAATTTGATGGGCTCCACATTCTCTCCAGCCTATGTTACATCACAGCCTGAGGAGATGAACGTGTTTGCTTGACCAAATTACTCTACTGCCCTTCCTAACTTAAAAAGGAAGGTATCAGTGAAGCTGGACAGTTTTGTAATTGGCCACACGGCATGTTTCTCTACAAGCAGCAAACATTTTCCAGTCCAAATGATGATGTCATCTTCCAGAGCACTGATTGCCTTCTCTCCTGCCACCTATCACCTCTCCTGGTGTCCAGCGTGTCTGAATTCTCTTTAAGGGCCTGAGATTCATTTCTGGTGACACATTACAGGAGGAGAGGTGAGTGGGTCATGTGAACACAGACAAGGCTGGACTTGGCACTTTGCTCTTCAGACGAGGTATTTTCCTTGAGGTTTGTGTTACAAATAAAGCGCTGCTCTGTGGTGTCGAGCAGTTGCACTTGGGAAAGGGAGGAGGAAGCACAAAGTGCGGTGCTGGGGGCAGCTTTCTCCCAGTGTGTGTGCGAGAGTGCCAAGAAGCTGTCAAATAAAATTAAGGTTCAAAACATACAGCCTTCAATTTGATTTCACTAAGATGCCGACAGCTGCTCAGAGGGAACACAATCGATTCTGTTTTGACAGGTCTTGATGTACAGTAAGCAGTAAAAGTCTCCACTCTGTGCTGGATTAAGAAAAATTCACCTTAATTTCAACTTAAATAGAACCGTATCTGAGCTTGAAGGGAGGCTTCTCGTCTGCTCACCTGCTCTACCCCCTTGCTTCTCCTGCCAATCCTCCCTCTTTTTTGCCCTTGGACTTCATCTTCCTCTCCCCTTGCCTCTTTTTCTTTTTCTTAGCACTTTTAAAATCTCTCTCCCTCTCACTGACTCTCTTCTATACTTAAAAGGGAGAGTTTGGAGTCCTTACTACGTGCTGAGCACTGCCCTATATGCTTTTCTCGAATTGCCTTATTTAATTCCCACGACATCCTTATAAAGTAGGTGGAATTGTGTCTATTTACAGATGAGAAAACAGATGTTCATAGTGATTAAAAGCCTGCCTGGGGTTGTACAGCTAGTAAGTGGCAGATCTGGGGATTCAAGCCTAGACCTCTGATTCTAAAAGTCCTTGCTCTTTTCATGACATTAGTGGGCCTGAGCCCTGGCAGAACATCACAATCACTTGGGGATCTCCAACGGCATCAGTGCTTTGTCACCACCCCCGTATTTATTAGTCTGGGGAGAGTCCAGGGCATGGGAGCGGCCCAGTATTCTGCTTTCCCTTTGTCCTCATCTTTCTTAGCATATAAACAGAAGTGTACGTTGAGGTAGGTAGCAGAAAAGCCCTGAAGATGATGGGGTTCTTCTCCCATACCTCTTACGGGGGAGGACTCACCTTTCTGGAAGCCAGTGGTGCCGGAAAGCACAGGTGTGTCTTTCTCTTTATACCAGGTGGGCAAGTGGGAGAACCACACCCTGAGCCTGAGGCACGCCGTGTGGCCCAGGTACAAGTCCTTTTCGGACTGTGAGCCAGACGACAACCATCTGAGCATCGTCACACTGGAGGAGGCCCCCTTTGTCATCGTGGAAGACATAGACCCGCTGACGGAGACGTGTGTGAGGAACACTGTGCCATGTCGGAAGTTCATCAGAATCAAGTGAGTCCAGGGATGCTGTCGGTTGAATGTGCCCAATCCTTTACAATAGCCTGTATCACTGATGACAGGAGTATCTCTACAATAATAATAGAATGTAATATAAAATATACTCTATTATAATAGGTGGGTATAAAAATAGATTTTTTTAAAAGACCTGGAACTACACCAGGTGGTTTGCATTCATTTGATTCCAACAACGGCAATACGAGGTGCATGGTTTTGCCCATTTAAAACATGATAAAAACTGAGTTATGAGAAGATTAAGAAGCACGTTCAGAGCCACGTAGCTGGTAGATGGAAGAGGCAGGACTCAAACACTTGTCCATCTGACTCCACCACCATATTCTTAACCAGTATGGTAAGTCAACCCTCCCCTTCAATATTGCCTAGAATAATTATTTCTTTTGTATTTTTCTGGTTGCTCCCTCCCCCAAACCATATCTACCACTTCCTTCCACCTCTCTTCTATTTCCCAGATCCAAACTTTTCAGAATTTTCAAAGCTTCTCTCCATTTTGGGGTCAACATCCACCTTACAAGTGACTTTCTGATGTGCTTAAGGTGGAGCTGATCTCCTGGGGATCTCCTAGGTCACCAGCAACAAACCAGCATTGCATCTAAGTCATTTCCTCTTTTATTACGATTGAAGAGGAACTGACATTTTTTATCAGATCCCCTGGTGAAGGGTTCTCCCTAATCTATAAACCCTTTGGAGATACATAAAGCTTCATGGCCAAGTCCAAGGCCCTGAATTTTGTCTTTGTAATGCAAACATAAACACAAATACCACCCTTGTGGAGGATTCACAAAAGGAAAAAGCCTACCGCTAGATGGAAATCTTTTTTTTTTTTTTTCTGAGTATTTTCTGATTGCCTCCTTTCACCTGGACAATTTTTGCTTGCCCTTTAAGTCTTAAGCACTCCCTCCACAAGCTAGGTTAGTTCTCCCTACTTCCACAGTACCCTGGCTATGTCTCTATGTCTTAATCAGTTCAGGCTGCTATAACAAATTACCACGAGTGGGTGGCTTAAACAACAGACATTTATTCCTCACAGTTCTGGAGGCTGGGAAGTCCACGATCAAGGTGCTGGCAGATCTGGTGTCTGGTGGAGACCCTCTGGTTTGCAGACAGCTGTCTTCTTCTCACCTGGTAGAGAGCAGAGGGAGAGGAAGCAAGCTGTCCTGCTCCTTCTTATAAGGGCACTACTTCCATTTAGGAGGGTTCCACCCTCGTGACCTAATTACCTCTCCAAATACCATCACATTGGGGATTAGGGTTTCAACATATGAATTTGAGGGGAACATAAACATTCAGTCCATAGCACTCTCTAGCTGTCTTTCTCACTTGTTTTTATGGCTTACAGTGTGTCTGTATTTCCCCCAGAGTATTATCTGCCTAAATATAGGGAATGTGGCTTATTAATATTTGTGTCCTCAGTGACAAGCATAGAATATGACACCCCAATGTTGATGAAACTTGAACGGAGGGTGAATGGATACTTTTCCTCCCACATTCCAAATTCCAACCTAAGTTCTTATTATACAAGATGCAAATCCCCATGGCTCAGTGCTTTGGATAAAGATAATTTTTTTTTTCCGGTACGCAGGCCTCTCACTGTTGTGGCCTCTCCTGTTGCGGAGCACAGGCTCCGGATGTGCAGGCTCAGCGGCCATGGCTCACGGGCCCAGCCGCTCCGCGGCATGTGGGATCTACCCGGACCGGGGCACAAACCCGTGTCCCCTGCATCAGCAGGCGGACTCTCAACCACTGCGCCACCAGGGAAGCCCAAAGATAATTTTTTAAGAATATGATTGCTAAGTGTATTGTGAAGGTGCATTTTGGTTTGGAGAAATTTTTTTATCAATAAGCAGCATTTTTGGAGTTGAAATTCTTATGGATTATTCAGTAAATAATCATCAGCGTTTTTTGGAGTCATCAGCCTCTTTGGGGTTGAAATTCTGAATAGATTAGTCAATAAATAAATACGCATGAAACATAGTTTCTGTGTTAGTCACAGTGCTGGGCATGGGGGATGCGTCAGTGAACTGCAAGGATCTTGCAGTCGAGGGGTGCACACGGTTAAAAAACTGCTCAACTAATAAGGGAACAGGGCAGCTCCACATTAGGATAAACCCTGTGAAGGATCTGAATAAGGTGGTGTGATAAGGGAGTCACTTGAGGTATGTGGGGCTCCTACAGCTCACACAGGTAAGATTTAAGGTGACATGTAAAGGAGGAGAAGGAGCCAAACATGTGAAGAACTAGGGAAGAGCCACCCAGCTAGAGGAGCAGGTGCAAAGGCCCTGAGGGAGGAAAGAGACTGGCGAGTTTGGGAAACAGAAGGAAGCCTAGTGCAGTACTTGGAAGTGATGAACTGGGGGAATGACAGAAGGGGTAATGTGGAAAAGTTGTCAAAGGAGGTTTTGACTTGGGTGGGTGTTCTTTGAGCAGAACTTGGTCAGATTAAGAAAGCAGAGTGGCTGGCACAAAGCAAAGAGTATAACCCCACTGGGGCACCTCCTTTATGATAACAATATCTTCTCTGATTCAACAGGGCCAATCAAGTAGGGCATCTTATGCTTCACACTCAGTCATTGGAGATTAAAGTCTTTAAAATCAGAAGACTTGGAGCTGAAAACAATAGATCACCAAGTCCTGAGTCACACTGGTCTGGAGGAAATGAACCTCCAAATAAGTTACTGTCTTTAAAAGAATTGACTTTTCAACTGAAGAATAGAAACAGATTAACAAGTTCAGATTCACAATTTGGGTTCCTGTGGGAGGGGGTGGCTTGCAATTTTCCTTTTCCCACTTGGTGACATGAGAATTGTACTGTGCTTCTAGGTGAAATTAAAGTCTTTGATTTACCTGAAAGCAATAGAAAATTACTAGGATCCAGTCATCCCAACATTAACACAGTTTAGATCAACTTGCATTTCCTAAAGGTAACATCTTTGAGGCAGGCTGATTGGTTCCAAAAAGGATTCCTGTTGGACAACATGATTGTGTTTGATTTCTTGGTGATGTTCTTTCAGGGAAAACCCTTTGTCTCTCACTTCTGGCAAATGGTGGGGTCTTGAGGGCACACATCATTCTTCTAAAAAATCAGGTAGTAGGAAATGGGCTGAGAAATCAGACTTTTCTTCTTACCTGTTAGTTGAGTGTTAAGACGTGAAGAGAAAATTGAGGAAAACTTACCTGTTTTGATCTGTAAGGATAAATGGCTATACTGCCAGTTAATCCCCTAAACTGTCAAATCATTGGTGAAAAGAGAGGAAATATATTTTTAAGCACCTATGTGAGAGGTGCTTTAGATACCTTATTTAATATTTCTAACTATCCTGCAAGGTAAGTATCAGCCTTCTCAATGCACGAATAAGTAAACTGAGGTCTGTGAATGAAGAGACCCGTCCGAGTTTCCATGCTTGTCAAGGGCAGACCCAGGATTTGAAAGCAGCTCTGTCTGACTCGCAAGGCACATCCACTGGCCACACTGGGAAATTATACAGCCAGAGAATTGATGACTTATTGGATCCCTTTCCCCATATTTGTATTTATGAGTCTCCCTTTCTTTTGGGTGATGGTGGAGAGCAGAGAGATTACATGGGCACCATTTCTCAGATGTCTGGGTAGTTGTCATAACCCCTCCTCCACACACACACACACACACACACACACACACACGCACACAAGGTTTGTGTTAACAACCAACAAAAGTTCCCAATATGGTCTGTGTTTCCAGATGTGGAAACACAGACCAAATGATGTTAGATAAACATCATTTTAGTGCTTAGATAACAATTCAGTACGTAGATGTGTCAACAATGGAATATTGAGGCAGCACATATCCTATGAAATACATGACTCAGCATCTGACCATGGTACTAATGGATGCCCCAGGGCAAGGTGGAACCAAGTGCAATGCCCAGAGAGGTCTTGATCTTCCTGTAGCAGTGGTTTAAATAGTTTTTGTTATCACTTGGGAAGACCCCTGCTTCCTTCCCTTTTAAAAGCATTTCTGGTTTTTCTGAGTGTCCTTTGAGTATGACTTTGTCAAGTAAATAAAGGAGAGTGGCTGACACAAAGCAACAAATGTAACCTTGGTAGATTATGATAGGTTTTACGACAGCAGTGCCCTCTGTATTTTAATAGGGCTTTTTCCTGATCAAGGACATTGCTATTTAATAGTGTCACCTCTTACACTTCCTCCACGTAGGTAGGGAGGGAAAATGTTATGAATGAGCCTTCATTTGCGAGATGACTCGATCAAGAGACATTAAGTCCACAGACTCAGGCACAGAGTAGACCCCAGGTCTCCTGATTCTTAGCTGATAATTCTTAGTTTTCCTCAGCAAGGAGAGTATTTTTCCTAAGTAAGTAAGGCATCCTTTCTTCTTCCCTTTGGTTGCCAACCTCTATTTTCAGTGAAAGGATAAAGCAAAACTCTCCTTGCTCTGAGAATTTCACATCTTCCTCTCCTCCATTTTCCAATAAGTTTTTATAATTCAGTTTAGATTAGATGACTAAACTCTGATCTAAAGAGGTTGTATGTGTTATAAGCTTTAAAAAAATAAGACGTAGTAACTCTCATCTGTATAATGGGGATCTGAATACTACCTAATTAAGAAAAATGTTGTGAAGATTAATCCAACAGTTAGTATAAAGCATTTATCACAGTGCATAGCAAATAGTAATTACTCGAGAAATGTTACCTGTTGTCATGCTTATTGTCATAATTAAGAACACTTTCTACTGTTGCTGTCATAAACTCACTGAACATCCTTGTAGAAGCCGCTTCCTCATTTTGGGCCTCTATTTCCCATGTGAAAAATAGTAGAAGAGTGTAGATAATGACTGAACACATTTTCCAGTACTAATACTCTACCATCTTGGGATTTTCTCTACAGCAATTCAACCAATGAGGGCATGAATGTTAAAAAATGCTGCAAGGGGTTCTGCATCGATATCCTAAAGAAGCTTTCGAGAACAGTGAAGTTTACCTATGACCTTTACCTGGTGACTAATGGGAAGCATGGCAAGAAAGTTAACAATGTGTGGAATGGAATGATTGGTGAGGTAAGTTATCTTTTCATCCCAAGGGCCCTCATTCAGACTTAGGGCCCAAGGTCCTCAGGGATGGTGGGAAGGATAAGTAAAGGGACGGTTCTTTTTTTTTGCCTTGTGTCCAGGTGGTTTATCAACGGGCAGTCATGGCAGTTGGCTCACTCACCATCAATGAGGAACGTTCTGAAGTGGTGGACTTCTCTGTGCCCTTTGTGGAGACGGGAATTAGTGTCATGGTTTCAAGAAGCAATGGCACTGTATCACCTTCTGCTTTTCTAGGTATGTGAACTTCACAGTTACTATTGCTTTCCTATGAGGAATTATAGGTATTTTGTCTTGTTTGCTCAAAAGACAGGACCAGATAGGACCTAGTTCAGTTCTAGGTAACCACGTCAGCATATTGAAAGCACGTTGCATTGAATTACGCAAATTTTCCCCCAGTTAACATCTTTCATTTATCTTTAACTTGGAAATAGCTGCTAAAAATACAATCACATATTCAGATACCGTCCTTGATAGTGCAGAATATAGATTAGTAGATATATTGCTTAGAGCCTTGAAAGCATTTAAAAAATAAACCTGTCTGTCCACAGTTAATTTAAATCAGCTCATAAACTTTTATTTAGCAGCCGCATACCCATCCTCCATCCCTCACTAGAATGACAGTCATTTATTTACTGGATGTAAGAGTAAAAATAATGATGACTGTGCAATGATTTATACCAGTACTCTGATAAACAAAACAGAAGCAGTCTGAAGAGGATACACTGTTTTAAAATTAATGGAATCATATTTTAAATGTGCCTGTCCTTTAAGCTGAATGGTTTATAAGAGAAGAAATTCTTCTTACTCTCCTTTTAACTGTTTCCTAGACTTATGTTTTTACACAAAAGGTTTTTATTTTTTAAAGCAAGGTAGTTCTGTTTTTTTTCTATCGTCTGGTTTTCTTTAGCAGCTATGCATTAGGTAGCTTGGCTGGTGTAGCTGAAACTGCATGGAATATAGCCAAGCATTTTTAATTTTTTCTTTAAAGGAAATCATTGTGTTGAGTGTTTTGTCATCATAAATAGTTTTTGATAGTGACTGTCTTGAAGATCGTGGGATTCAGATTAACTTCCCCTTGGCATTCCCATGTCAGTGGGTTTGTCCCAAATTGGGAAGGTTAAGACAAACATTGACCCCTAGAAGGAAACTGCAGGAGAGAGTGAAAACAGTTAGATTAGGGTCAACTGAATTTCTTACATTTTTCCAAAGACAAAAAAACTTTGTTTATTAGAGAACTAAAACTGCAGACTAGGGCCCATTTGTGGATGCCAGCTGCAAGCCCATAGCCTCACTCTTCCACTGTCTTCATTTATATGTGGTGTTAGCATCCAGTGAAGTGTTCTAGGCTTCATTCTCATGAGTGAAATGTTGACTAACAGGATTTTGGATACTGCCTTACTCACAGAGACATATGGATTTACTGTTTTCATTTTCAGTAATCCATTGAAGCTGTTGAAATCCTTACCACTCACTGGATTTGATTTTGCACTTGCTTCCATTTTTGTAACCTTTGTTGGAGTAATGTGGACCTTGACAAATACACACCTCACTGTGTTCCTTCTGTGCCTGTGTCTGATATGGATAACGATGCCCATATCTTAATAAGGGAGCCTCACTGGATCATGAAAAGTACTGCTTACTGATATTGACAACACAAGCAGAATGTTAATAATTATTGGATATACTCTCACTCACAGTCACTCGTAATCGTCTTTTTCCCCATTCGCTGTTGGAACCTTTAACAGAGATCTTTGGTCCTAGAGGTTGGAGGAAGGGAGTTCGTGGAAGCAATGGAAAGAGAAAGTTGTCCACTTATCTTCTTAGTGAGCTAGAGAGAACTTTTCGTCCAGTTCAGTCAAAGAGGAAAAATATTTCCATTGACTTGTCTCATAAATATGAGTCACTGATACTGAATCTGGCCTCAACCCAGTTTCCCTAGATTTTTATCTTATCTGTGTTAGTAGAACATTTCCATAAAAGTCAAGTATTTTTGCTAAGTTTAGCTAAACCTCTTTTCCCCCTACTCTTCCTACTGTATCTTTAAGAATAAAATAAATTGTAGCCAGAGGAAGCTATTTTTAAAGCTGTTTTTACACAGAAGGCTTAATACTTTTCCTAGTCACTAAATTACATCCCTGTTCGATTGACTGTGCACCCCCTTATTTACGGTCATTATCTGCAGGTTTTGAAAGTCATAATGAACCATGCTAAGCTACATTTTTCCATTCACTGGCTCAGTCATCTGGAAGAGCCAAACATTCAAAATCTGATTGCATTGCTCTTCATTATTTCCTATTCTCTCTCCGCTGCAAAATCCATTGACTCACATCGGAAACACTTGCAGGTAATGCCTCTGAGCTTTTGTATCAAAATGTAACCAGTGACTCTTCAAGGACAGAGATGATGTCTCTGGCAATATTCAGTTAATTCTTAAGACTTTCCAAGTAGGTTGGAGTCTTTGATCCAAAGAAATGCTGAGCTGGGGTCTCTTCTAGATTAAAGTTCCTTCACAGACAGATGTTGAATTTGTTGAATCTGTCCAGTAGAGGATGTAATCCAGAGCTATCTAAAAATACTTCTGGGTCACATCTTAGACACTACAGACAGTAGCTCATCATTGTTCTAATGACTTTCTTTGTTGTGGGGTGTGTGTGTGTGTGTGTGTGTGTGTGTGTGTGTGTGTGTGTGTGGTGTCTGGGAATAGCCATCCTTCATGGCACTCATAGGTACCTAACTTACTAAAACCAGAATACTACAGCAGAATCTCTCTGCCATCCTCACAAGTCAAGGGACAGATGTTGTCACTTCGAAGTGAGAAAACATCTGGGATCAGTTTCTTGATCAGTTTCCATCTGATTTTCTGACCAGTTAGTGACTAGGACACATCAAGTGCCCAGTGAAGTCCACTGAAGGCTTACAGATTCTGACATGTGAGTACAAGAATTCAGTAAGGATTTACCCTAATATTTTTAATAATGTCATCATAACCTGCAGAGAAGAGGAGTTATCAGATTAATAAGTGTGCGTGTTTTAAACTAGAACGCCTTTTTCAGGACCCTGGACAGCACACCACCACCACCAATTCTGGCTTTAACCACGGAACCCAGCAGCTATTCCATTTAATTTATTATGTGTATGCAGTGTGCAAAGCACACACCAAATACTTTACATGTATGTAATGCTCCTTTACTCGTTACAGTGATCCTCCTCTGCTGAGACACACTATGCCATCAGCACATCCAACCTGGAGAATTACTTTAACATCTCTATTTTTGAATATTAAGTAATTTTTAATCTCCTAATTATTCATTTCTTTCTCCTGGATACACCTTACTACCAAACTGCTGATTTCAGGGACACGATATTGTTTGCACTCAAGTTAAATTTAACTAAGATAAATTTCAGTTTTAGTCTCATTGGTTTCTTTGAGCTCATCTTGGCTTATTTAAGTCAAGTAAGTTGTCTTGGTACTTGTTGCTTCTTAAAGTATTTGCACTATCAAAACTGCATTACAAAGTATTCCTTCAGGTTTTAAAATTATCCAATATCATTAAAGCTTCGGACATAGTAGTTTCTTATTATATATTAAGCTCATTACGTTGGAATTTGTGATGAACTCTAGCTGTGTTAGGTAGTCACAGACTTTAATAAAAAGGTGGCCTGCTATCAGCCTAGTTCTTTATTATTATTAATAGATTCATCAGAAAAAAAACATTTAAAAATAATAAAATGTGTACTATTCGAGAGGTATTATTGGGCTTCTTGTATTTTATTCTTAGAAAATGTTTGCTCATGATGAAAAGGATTATAAGTTCATTGGTGTCCAAGGGCAGTTTCTTCCCAATGATGCAATCAGGTGGAGCTATGTTCATTTAAAAAATTTTAGTCTCTGTTGATTTTCTAGCAAATCTATGTCATACATGGATAAAATAGCTCCTTTCAGCTCACTTTCATGTCCTCAATCAGTTTGAATAAAAATGTTAATTTGTTTTACATAGTATCTCTTACCTTTCTAAAGTTATCTAAGATTTAGAACCTTGTGTCTTGGCCTGCCCTTCTGAGACACCCACATGAAAATGAACTGATGAAAACTATTTTTAGGGGAAATAACCATCTATCCATCTACTACTTCCTTGCCTCTATCTTTAAACGATGCATTTTCATTGAATTCTCGTGTGAATGTAATATCCTCAAATGACTTGTCAATTGCGTTTAACCATTACCAACCTCGACAAGATTTTTAAATTGTAGAGATCCCATGTGTCCGAAGCAGTAGGTGAAATGGAGAGAGTGGTAGTATTGGGGGCAGACTATGACATTCCAATATTCCTGTCAATCCCACGATTTTACGATCCTTTTCTACCAGGTTATAATTCTCCCTTTACTTCTAGAATTCCTGCACGTCCTCCCTCCAGCATGTCAAGATGAAAATGAAAATAAAAATAAAACTCATGCTGATTCGCAGGTGCCTTATGTTTGACTATTTGAATCTAGTCTTGTTTCTGTTTAGCTTTGGTCCCCTGGATGATTCTATAATTACAGAGGACCCTGTAGCCTCTTGGTTTGCATTTTAACTTTCTCCCTTGGTCTTATCATTATATTTTGTTTTTATTATCCTTGACCTGATTTGTAAAATGTCATATGCTTTTCTGTTTTTATCCTATGATGTGCATTCTTATAAAACACCTCAAATATTTTGTAGAATGGAGAATGCTTTAAATGTATGAATAAACAATGACTAGCTTCTTTTGAATGATCAGATTCACATCAGAGTGGGTTTCTCAGTGAGTCTGCAAATGGCCCTCTAGGCTTCCTGCTAGCCCTGGTTGTGAGGAGGCGCTCACTGACCATGTTTCCATCCCTCCGGCCTGTTTACCTGCAGAACCATTCAGCGCCTCCGTCTGGGTGATGATGTTTGTGATGCTGCTCATTGTATCCGCCATAGCTGTTTTCGTATTTGAATACTTCAGTCCTGTTGGATACAACAGAAACTTAGCCAAAGGGAAAGGTGAGACTAGCTTCATAAGCATGATTCAAAGTCAATGCTATGTAATTTACTTTCAATGAAGAGTTCAGATTTAGAACACATTATCCTATATTGCCTTGCTGTACCATCGTATAAATCATGCTGGGTCATTGATATTACTTGCAGTGCCATACAAGTATGGGTTATTCCCTTCTACTGAAAAGAAGGGTAAAACTTAAAAATGAGACATTTTAATCTTGCTATAATGTGGAGTCGGTAGTTAAGTGAAAAACTACTGATATCTGCTGAGAAAGCATATTTGAAAAAGTTTTCTGGCAGTTGTCAAAATGTGCATCAAAACAAATGTTAAAACTACTAGTGAGTCTCAACGTCAGTCTATGCAAAGAAAATGGTTTTATAGAATCTAGGCTAAGAACATTCTCCAAACTGCCAAATCTGCTCACATTCGTTTGATGATAAATATATAAATATATGATAAAATGGTGACTTTCCCCAAACAGTTACATTTTCCTCTTGACAGTGCCTGACCTTAGTGCATTGTACTTGATAAAGTGGCAATCAGTAAGTAGAAAATTGAATTGGGATGCATTCATCGGCCATAACTTTTTTTTTTTTTTTTTTTTTTTTGCGGTATGCGGGCCTCTCACTGCTGTGGCCTCTCCCGTTGTGGAGCACAGGCTCCGGACGCGCAGGCTCAGCGGCCATGGCTCACGGGCCCAGCCGCTCCGCGGCATGTGGGATCTTCCCGGACCGGGGCACGAACCCGTGTTCCCTGCATCGGCAGGCGGACTCTCAACCACTGTGCCACCAGGGAAGCCCGGCCATAACTTTTTAAGAGGCTCCCACACGAACCATACACATAAACACATTACACAATTTTGAGTGAATTTTTCTCAATGCACAACACATTCTAAGTAGATGGTATCAGAAGGATGCCAGGACGAAATCTCTTTCCTGAAAAATGACTTTAGATGATGGAAGACGGCAGATCTTCAAGGTACAGTTATTCAAAAACAAGGCACTTTAATTTGCCATATGTTCCTTTTGCTTGGAAGATTCAGTATTGGAAAGAGCCAGCAGGTCACAGGAATCTATTGGGAACTTAGTTTTACTGAAATCCTCCCGCTTCTTCTTAACCACTGTTACCACATAAACCACCTGCCGTCAACCAAATGTAGTTAAAATGCCACAAGTAATCACGTTGTGTTTAAGTGGGAGAGTTGCCAGCATTTCACTAAATGGGTAATGTAATTAACTAGTAAGAAGCTTTCCAACAGAGTGGGTCCTGAGGCAATGTTCTATGGGTGATCATACTGCAGGAGAGTAGATATTTACAGTTTGCAAAATCAGAGCTTGTGTTGTTTGTGAATTCGTGCGTTTATTTGATGAATATTTCCGGAGTACCTGGTACCGGAGCAGGGGTTTAACGTGGTAAATGGGATGGAGATTTCCTCATCCTTGGGCAACAGCGAATTTAGTTGTGGAGGCAACACGTAAACATATAAGTGAATAATCACGGATTGTAATAAATCTCAAGAAGAAGGGAGAAAAACCAAAGTGAAGTGATGGGATATGGGCGCTTCTTAAGTATGACGGTCAAGCAGGGAAGGGCTTTAGGAAGAGATGACGCTTGAGTTGAGACCTGAAAGATGAGAAGGATTCAGTCCTATGAAAAACTGAGGGAAAAGCATTCCATGCAGAGGGAACAGCAGATACAAAGGCCTTGGCATGGGCTCAATCTTGATATGCTCAAGAAACAGAAAAGTTATGAGTAAGTGAGGTAGACAGTGGTATAAGATGAAGTCAGAGGGATAGGCTGTTGACTGTGGTAAGCATTTCAGATTTTCTTCAAAATACAATGGCAGGGAAGAGGCAGAATACAAACCTGTACGGTGTGGAAAGGTCACTTTCTATCTATCTATCAAGACGATGGGAGGGGTGGCAGCAGTGGAAGGAGGGAGACCAGTTAGGAAGGTGGTACAGTTTTCCAAGAGAAAGAACTGCAGTGCTTTAGACTTGGATGGAGAGAATGGAGATGGAAAGAAGTGGATACATTTGAAATGTATCTTGGAAGATAAAAAGCTATCCAAAGGCCACCACGTGCTGAAGCACACACTATTGTGCAGGAAGGAACCTAGCATGCAAACTCCTTCCATCACCTGGAGCCTTTTTGTTTTCTACTCATCCGCATGTAGAAACCCTCAGGAAATGACAGCTACTTATTTCCTTGCACAAAATAGTTTTCTGTTACATCTCATTGTCCTTTATGGGGAAAATTATATGACCCAGTAATAGTCTTCATGAATCAGGAATTCCCAAACGTCTTGGACAGCTCCCTGCAACTGCCCATTTCTGATTCCCAAATAGCTATCACTTCTGATCAACACGCATCCCTAATAAAATTAAGTAGTTCATGAAGTTTACTGGATTGACTCTACTTTTTTACTAAGAATTCTCAGCCTCTTGGGAATAAGCCCAGAAGATCATAAAATTAGGCAAAGAAAAAGAGGAGAGCTTGAAACTGAGAATAATAGAATTAGTTGCCTTCTCTCTAATGTGTTGTATATGGATATTGTAAGTATTGCGATAGCCTGAATTTGGCCTCCCATGTGCGGAAAGCTTGCTTCCCAACTAGGCTCTCTGCCCAGAACTTCATAACTTCCATCAATCTGGATTCACTGCTGCCACTTTATTTATTGCCCACTCTGAGTGCATCGCCAACTGAAGTCTAAGTAGATCATTTTTTCATATCTTCATTTACTTAAATGACATAAAAACCTTCTGTTAAAGGAAGACCCTTTTTCCCATGAAATGAGGGCATAAATTGATTTTTTTTCCCCTTGCACAAAAACAGACTTGAAAGCTCTAACATGTGTGTTTTACAGCCTGCATATTCCCCTGCCCAATAAATTTTGGCATATTGTTCTGCCTCTTTAGTTAAGTCTGTTGCAAGGAACACTTAAGAATCTTAAAAAAAAAAAAAAAAAAAAGAATCTTAAGAATACGCTGAGGAAGAAAAAGTGCTGTGATATCAGAGTTCATTTTCCATGACCCTGCAACCAAATGTCTTCCATCTGTGAAGTGTTAGAAGAATTAAGCTCTATTGTTCTGTTCCTTAATGTCTCCATTTGGAGAGTGTTTTAGTTGGGTTTAATTCCTACATTGTGCATATCTTACATCTGAGTTTGAACAGGAGCCATGGCTAGGAACAATCAGATTAGAATATCAAGCACCAGTCCCTCTGAATTGCATGGTTCTTATACGAAAGCACATCTGACGAATACCGAAGCAGCCCCCATGCACATGTTTTTGTAAAGCTCTGCTTCCCCAAATGGAAATCAAATCCACATTTAAAACAGGTCATAACACTACTTCTAATTCAAACCCATGTTTTGCATAACCATTTTCTTCCTTCCTCCCTCCCTCCCTCCCTTCCTTCCTTCCTTCTTTTTTCCCTTTTTCTTTCTTTCTTTTTCTCTCTCTCCTTCCTTCTTTCTTTTTTCTCTCTTTCTTTCTTTCTTGTTCTTTCTTTCTTTCTTCCTCCCTCCTTCCCTCCCTCTCTCTCTCTTCCTTTCTTTCTTTCTTTGTCTTTTTAGAAATGTGGCAAAAAGCCAAATATATAGAAATGTGGGAAGAATGCTAATTTTTAAAGAAAAAAGGACTCCTTGTGTGTGTGGTTCTGGGGCAGTGATGGGACACGCTGTGATCTAAGTCCGTCTTCTGGCAGCCTTCAGTGTTGCTGGGGCCTCTGCATAGTATCAAACACTCACTAGTGTGCATTTCGAGGAGGCGCTGAGAATGTCCTTCCTGTCATTTGCAGCACCCCATGGGCCTTCTTTTACGATTGGAAAAGCTATATGGCTTCTTTGGGGCCTGGTGTTTAACAACTCCGTGCCTGTCCAGAATCCTAAAGGGACCACCAGCAAGATCATGGTGTCCGTGTGGGCCTTCTTTGCCGTCATATTCCTGGCCAGCTACACGGCTAATCTGGCTGCTTTCATGATCCAGGAGGAGTTTGTGGACCAAGTGACTGGCCTCAGTGACAAAAAGGTAAGGTCACTTTGCTTTCGTCTCTGCCTGAGGGGTTGATCTTAAACGTTCTCCCCTCAGAGGAAGTAAATCAGACTCTCATCCAAACCCATCAACTCTAAAGTACAAAGCCAGAGGATTTTTTTTTTCCTCTTAACTCAAATGGGCATATTTCTAAAAGTTCCAGGAACGGAAGCTTAAGCTTAACTCCTAAGTCTTAAAGTGTCTAGATCTAACTTGGAAACGAAGTTTCCCCCGTGGTCGTTTCTCACACTTACATGACTGTGTTGATGCTTCCTGAGGTCTGTGACTCATGTCACAGCTTAGGCTAGAGCTCGTCTTGCCAAGAAGAGTATGATGTTGAGGGAGATCCATTAGCCTTGGATCAGGAGAAACTTGGGGTGAAGTGAGATGCTCTCGGCTGTAGGTACCTCCTAGTTTTGTGACTTTGTATGAGTCTCTTACGTGCTCCATGCCTTGGATTCTCTGACTTGAAAACAAAAGTCCTCTGTAAGCCCTACCCAGAGACAAAACTGACAGCTCCTTTTTACTATGCAGCCAATCAGCCCCATCACCAGCACTCCTGACTCATCTGAAATTTCTTCAAGGGACACAAACAGAGCAGGGAGGTTTTTCATTTCCCACCGGTTCCTTTTACTCAGACTCACCTTCAATCCTCCCTCCTGGGGCTGTGCTTCCCACATCAGGGAGATGGGAGTGTTAACACCTGCGCTCTCCATTCTCCGCTGCCATGTAACGAAGTTTGCAGGGTGTGAGTAGCTATTCAGAAACCTACAGGGAGGAAGAGGTAAACTGGGTATATCTTCCTATTGAAATTTTAGTTTCAGGAAACAAACCCTGACTTGCTAAGCTCAGCAGTGTGGGGACTGCAGCACTGCAAAGATTTTCTGTCTTGTATGTGGGGATAATTTGTCTCTTTATAAAATCTCAGTATCATGTCTTATTGGCTTGAGTCTACATATATCCTTTCAGCATTCATCAACAGACTGCTGAATAGAAAATCAGCCCATGAAAAGACTTAACAGCTTAGCCGTGACTTACACGGTGGTTGAAAGAGGTACAGAGAGGCCTGTCATCAGAGAGAAGGTGAGGGATTGGAGTGAGTCATCATCACAAAAGCACCACCAACCTTATGAGCAGTTGGCCTCTCTGATGGCTCCTCCTTGGAAATGCCACTTGAGTAAATGCCACTCTCTGCGTCATGGCGACAAAGCCCTGTATTATCTGGCCCATCCCCCCATGTCCCCTCCGTCTTGCTTGCTGAGGCCCTCTCTCCGTTCCTTAGACACTCCAAGTGTATTTCCACCACAGTGCCCTTGCACTTGCCATGTCCTGTGCCTGGAATGTTCTTCCCCCTCTATTCTCATGGCCGGCTTCTCCTTGACTTTCAGGTTTTAGGGAAACTATCACCCCTTGGGAGAGCCTTCCTGGTCACCATGGTGACCAGCACAGCCTGAGCTTGTGCTCCCATGAAACTTAAATTCCAGTAGGAAGAAATAAACGACACACAAGTAAACGCAATGGAGAAGAAAATTCCAGGCAGGAATAAGTGCTGTAAAACTGATGAGATTAAAACTGACTTGGGGGAAGGGGATGTCAGGGTTATCTGACACTTAGTAGATGCTCAGTGCACACTTGTTGATTGAACGGGAAATGCACGGTGTGTTGGATGCTGCGGGCACCCTGCCTGGGGCCTCGGATCCCTTTCTCAGTTCTGTGTGCCCAGCCTCACCTTTGCTGACAAAGGTTCGTACCAGGGACCTTCAGAGGATGATTACCTTGGGGCACTGAAATGGTAAATGCCTGGATATTTTTATGTCCCCCAAATCTTGCAGTTGCCTGTAACCAATGGCTAACCAGTGTGAGAGTACAAAAGCCCAGCTGTTCTGTTGCTTCTAGGCAAACTCAGAGGTGCAGTTTACTCTGCAGGGCTCCCTGCAGGATCAGGCCGAGGCTGAGACTTTGCTTGTAATCCCACCGTTGGTTGGCTTCCTCACCTTCCCTAACCTTCTCCCCCCGTGTCCTTCCTGGTTTCTCCTGGAGCCCTTCCCTAATAAGTCATGCTCACCCAATTCCTTGGCTCACCTAAAGCACGTGGCATCTGGGAGGCAGCAGAGAAAGCCCTACACTCAGAGTCAGGAAAGTTGGGTTCCTTTTCCTCTCTGCTGCATACTAATTGTGTGATGCCTTTATTGTTGGGTAACCTTGCTGGGCCTCCTAGTTCCTCTCTGAACATTTGGGAATCATCGTTGTGGTAAGGATGGAAGGAGGCTGCACATGTGAATGTGCCCGGTTGCCTGTAACTGTTACGCGATTCCATCACATCATGGGAGCAAACGTACAGTTCCTAGAATAAGTGACCAGAGATACATTGGAAGCAGTGGGAAACCAAGTTTTGGATGAGAAGATTCTTCAAGAAAGGACTTGGCAGCGTATTTTGCTTTTTGTTGCTATTTTCAATAGCAAGGGGGAAAAATCCCTTGCTACCTAGTTTTGGGTCTAATAACATGACTGCTTGCGGGAAAACTAATTAGAAACACTAATAATTAGACTGACCTTCTCTGATTTGGAAACATCTAGTAACAGATACCATATCCTCATGAGATACAGCTCAGTTTCCATGCTCAGAGTGTTAGCAGCAAGCAGATAGCTCTTTTAATTAAATGTTTGATACAATTAGATAAACAGCAAAATTCCTAGAGTAAATAAGCTAAATGCTCCCAGAAGATTAATGGCAAATATACCAAGGAAGTCTGCAAAATCAAAATCTATATTGAATCAGTTTATTTGAATACTGTATACAAGTGTTCTTTCTTTCTTTCTTTCTTTCTTTTTATCATGAATAGCTATGTAACAGCTCAGGTTTATAATACTTTTAAGCCATTTGCATACTTGCTGTGAAAGAAGCACCTTTGGAGCCCACGGTGTGCTCAGATGAGCTTGGGGTTAGATTATACGTAGGTGAATTCATGGGTAGATGCTCCCCTAGGATTTATTAAAGAAGTTGGAATGTTGGTGGCAACCCTTTCCAAAATGTTGGGTGTTACTGTGGTTGGTGAAATCCATCCCTGGGAGGCAGACTAATGTAGTGGAGAAAGCAACACCATAGGGGTCAAATGGATCTGGATTCAAATCCTGACCTTGCCATATAGTAGTTGTATGGCCTTCAGTGTGTCAGTATCCCCACAGCTTAATTTCCTGATAGAGGGGGTTTAATACCATTCTGGCAAGGTTGATATGAGGATTAGGAATAATCCTCACACCGTGCCTGGCACATGGTAGATAATCCTATTATAAATGGTATTTCTTCCCTCAAGCCTCCTCCCACCCCCTCCACTACCTCTCCCCTCTCCTCTTCATCTCCCTCGGCTCCCTCCTCATGACCATCACTATTGCCTAATTCGAAGCATTCCTCACTTCTGGGGTCTGAAATATTATTGCACTGAGTTGGCCTTTTGTGACAGCAATAGAGGAAATTCAGGGCATGTACCTTGTGGATGAGCCCATAAATGTGTTCTCGGGGAGTTGTGCTGGGTGAGCCTTGTCCACCATTCTTATTGGTTGAATGGAGGCCTCTGAGCCTCTCCTTCCTCTTAAGGACCACAGCAGTTTGATGCTACATCCAGAAGCATGTGGAGCTCACCAGTGGGAGAAGACCTTACTAGAAACAGGGGCTTTAGTACCAGACATTCCTTACTTATGTCCACAGAAGATAGATACTTTTAATAATTGTGTATTTTTTGGTTCATAAGAGAAATAAAGAAATGTCCTGATTAATTGCCGCATTTTTCCTAGAAGTTTTACTTCCCAGACCTGTATCTCTACTCCGTCCATCATAATGCACTTGCTATGACTTATTCGCTGGAATGACTCTCAGACCTGCCCACATACCAAATGGAAAAAAAGTGTAGAATACAAACCTCTGATCTTCTGTTCTCTACATTGGAGGGAAACTGGATCCTTTATTTGACTAAAGTCATGCTGGGTAACAACAGGTGATGAGGGGATGTTTATCAAGCATTAGGGGATGCCATTAAACACTCTAATTGCAAAAGCAGTCTTCAGTTTACAGATGGAGAAACAGAGGCTCAGAGGGTTTAAGCAAATGCCCCAAATGTCTCAGTTCCAAAGTAGCAGATGAAAAGCCCAAGGCCAGGTGCAGCCAGCTAATATGAACCATGAGGGCGACCTTGAGAGAGAAGCTGTGAGGAGTTCTGCTGACACTGGGCTTCATGATTACGTTGCCCTGTGGTCTTGTTGATGGGGGAGACCTCTGCACCACCCCTTCCTGCACTGGAGCCCACACTCGTTTCTTCCTGCTTGCACATGGAACTCTCTGGGAGAAAGTTGCATCAGAAATCATTCCCCTAAGAAACACAGAGTGTGCCCTCCACGCTAGGCCCTGGGATTCCGGCGATGAGTCATCCTTGCCCCTAACTATTTTTCACACTGTAGATCATGACTCTTTAGGGAGTCATGAAATTAATTTAAGAGTTGTGACCATTAAAATAGTAGATCACCATGGATTACATCAGAATATATCCTAAGTAGAAAGTGTGTCTTTACAGGGTGGAGATGGAAGATGTATTGTGAGTCATGCTTTTAAAAGTTTGACAGCCTTTAGTTGAGCGGGAAAGGTTCCTAGGTCTGGGTGCCAGGCTGAATTTAGTGTGGGTGAGGGTACAGTCAAGGCCAGAGAGGTGTGGAAATTCATCACCGAGGCCGAATCTCTGTCTCTATCGCTGTGCAAACCAAACGCAGGGAAGGAAGGGGATCTCAAAGAGCTGCGTGTCTCCTCTGCTACAGAGGGTGAGTGAAGGGGAAGGCAGTTAGGCAAATAGGCCATCAGATGTCTCGGGAGATTGGGAGCGGCTGCTCCAATGACTAGATTTATGAGAGTGCTGCTGCCTCTGTGCCCTGAGCAGACAGCTGCTGTGCAAACAGGACTGGGCTGGTGCCTCCCCCTTTTAGGTGGTAAGTTGAGGCACTGCTTGCCTGAGTGAGTGCAAAGAGCATTTTCTGTTCACAAACACACACTTGTACATACACACACGCTCCCAACACAAGGTGCCCAGCAGGAGGATCTCACTGAGACAATGCATGGCCACTTCCCCCAAATCCAGTTATGGCTGCTTATTAGGCGGCAGCGTGCCTAATTTAAGGGGAGCAATCTTCAACTGGAAAGTTTAATTAACAGTGAAAAGAAGTGTGTGTCTAGAAACAAGAATAGCGTTTCTGATTAGCCTGACTCTTGGGTAAACTTGGACACTTCCTCCGGCACTTCTCAGTTCCGTGGAAGACATGCTGATGTGGAAATCTGAGAGACCTCTGGATCCCAGCCCTGGTTCTGCCAGAGATTTGCTGGTTGTCCTTCCCTCTCTGGGTCTCAAGGTCCTCACCTCTAAAAGAGGAGAGGTCGCTAGTAATGGTCTCGGAGGAATGATAGAGTTCAGACCTTAGGTTTGAAATCTGGGCTGCTGTTTACAAGGAGCGTCATCTTCAGTAGGTCATAGAACCTCTCTGAGCCTCAGTTTCTTCATCTGTAAAATGGAGCCTCAAAGATTAGCTACCAGGCAGTGTTGTTGTATTAAATGAGCCAGTGTTTGTGAAGTTTTCAGCACAGTGCTGGCCCCCAGCAAATCCTCAAAACATGCTAGTCATTATAATCATCACTTTCTAGTTCCAGAATTCCATATTTCATAGAAAAATGAGGCCCAGGTTAATTTTTTTGCCCACGATGATGGCAGAAATGACGAGTAAGAGTAGTTTTATTTTTGAGTGCTTACTCTGTTGCAGGCACTATTCTAATTACTTGACAAAAGTTGTAGTTTTAGATCTTCCCATTGACCCCACAAGGGAAGTACTCATGTGTTTCCCACTCTGCAGATGGAAAATAAATGGAGGCAGTGGGAAGTAAGGTGGCATCTCTAAGGCCCCACGGTCTGTAAGGAATAGAAGCTGACTTTGGAACCTGTGAGGCTGAGCTCACACTTGTAACCATTGCCTTGTGCTGCCTCTAGATTTTAACTGTATTTCTGGGACTTAGACCTAGTTCTCTGGACTCCCAATCTGGTTAGGTTGCCCCAAACACTGAAGGTGTGAACAGATGGGGAGCAAAGAAACTTTTCTCTACCCTTCTAGATAGTTCTGCCTGGTCTAAGAATTAAATTGACATGAGGCAGATTAACAGGAGAAAATCTAACTTAATTTCATACATACGGGAACCCCACATATATGAGAGGTTCAGAGACAGAAAGGTAAAATGAGGTAGATGTGCTGTCCTGAGCTAAGGAATAGGCTAGGGGCCTAGGGCTCCAGAGGAGAGGAGGGCAATTCACAGGATGATGAGAAGAGCAGACGTTCAGTAATTAAATGTTTGCCTGTCACAGGTCATAAAATGTTATTTCTGGTAATAACTCTTATTATGGGCAAGGCCCCCAATTTAAATTCTTTAACAGAGCAGGGAAAGTTCCTCTTGAGCCCACAGGGTCTCAATTGCCTTCAGCTAAAAATAAATCATGTGCCAAAGTGGCACATCTGGGGGAGGGATAAATTAGGAGTTTGGGATTAGCAGATACAAACTACTATATATAAAATAGATAAACAACAAGTCCTATTGTATAGCACAGGGGATTATATTCAATATCTTCTAATAAACTATAATGGAAAAGAATATAAAAAAGAATATATATATTCTTATATATATATCCATATATATATATGAATCACTTTGCTGTATACCAGAAACTAACACAACCTTGTAAATCAACTATACTCCAATAAAAATTTTTTTAAAAAAGAATAGAAAAATTCGGGCTTCCCTGGTGGCGCAGTGGTTGGGAGTCCTCCTGCCGACGCAGGGGACACGGGTTCAGGCCCCAGTCCGGGAAGATCCCGCATGCCGCGGAGCGGCTGGGCCTGTGAGCCGTGGCCGCTGAGCCTGCGCGTCCGGAGCCTGTGCTCCGCGGCGGGGGTTGGGGGATGGGGGGGGGCATGGGTGGGGCCCACAGCGGTGAGAGGCCCACGTACCACAAAAAAAAAAACAAACAAGAACGGGCCCAGCCACTCCGCGGCATGTGGGATCTTCCCAGACCGGGGCACAAACCCGTGTCCCCTGCATCGGCAAGTGGACTCTCAACCATTGCGCCACCAGGGAAGCCCCTTCACTGGTGAAGTTTACCAAACAGTTTTAAAGGAGAATTAACACCAATCCTTCTCAAACTCTTTAGAAAAATAGAGGAGGAACACTACCTAACTCATTCTCTGAGGCCAGAATTTCCTTGATACCAAACTAGACAAAGGATTCACAAGAAAAAAAATGATAGACCAATATCTTTTTAAAATATTGATGCAAAAATCCTCACCAAAATACCAGCAAACCAAATCAAGCAGCAGCGTATAAAAAGAAAAATATGCCACGACCAAGTGAGATTTCTCCCAAGAATGCATGGGTGATGAAACGTATGAAAATAAGTCAATGCAGTACACAACGTTCATAGAATGAAAAAGCAACCACATGATCCAAGTGGCACATCCTGGGGAGGCCTGTTCTGACCCCCTTCACAGACAACATCAGCCAATCAGGGAAACCCAGTAGAGCATGGCCAGTGAGCCTTTATGGAGGCTCAAGAGGCCATACCAGACATGGGCATCACCGGGAAGCTAATGGTTAGTATGGACTTCAGCTCAAGAAACGTTCATGGAACCTGCCATTATGCCTGGGATGTGTTAGGACCACAATAAGTATTGCATGCATGCATGAGCAAATGAATGAATGATGGCTGGAGGGTGAGTGAATGACATAGAGTCTTTGTACGGGAAGAAAAATGATTGCCCCTCTACCCTTCCAGGTTCTACCCTTCATAATAAATGACAGATTTAACAGGAGAAAAACATGTATACAATCTGTATATATGGGAGATACCCAAGAAAACTGAGTAACTCCCCGAAATAGCCCAAACCACCAGCTTAAGTACTATCTTCAGCTGAAGACAAAAGAAAGATGTAGGGTAATGGGAGGCGTGATGGGGGGTGGGGAGAGAAGGAAAGGCCAGTTCTGGGAGGAGACCAGGAAGAGCACAGTAAGCAAGGGCATGGTAGTGAGGCAGATTTAAGTTGCTGCCTTTTCCATGGATAAGAGTTTTAGAGATTTAGTCATCCTCTTCCAGATACAGAGAGGAAGACACCCTCACAAATATAAGATTTTGCCTCTTCCAAAAGAGTTAACTTCTACTCAGTTTTCAGAGTTTCTCCTGTGTCTGCTGTTTCTTAAAAAATAACCAGCCCCCGGATAATCCGTTTGCCAAAGAGGCATATTTCAGGAGTGGCAAATTCTCCCCTTTGTCATTTTCTGGGTGAGGTGAAAGAAATTGTAATTGGGGTCCAGAGAAGGGAGTGATTGGTGAGGATCTCAGAAAATTTCATGATAAGGCAGATGAATGAACTGAAGTCATACATTAATTCCAGCTTAATCAGCATTTCCTGAGCACTGCCTGTGAGCCTAAGACTAGGCTGGTCTCTATAATGGAGACGAAAACTTCCATCCAACAGATACCTATTGCACACCCAGCCAGCCCCTATGCTGGGCACTGAGGAACAGTAAGGAAGAAGACAGACACTGTTTCTGACTTCCTGGAGCTCCCAGACCGGTGGAAGGTGTGATTAAGTAGAAAGGAAGCACAAAAATGAGTGGGTGTTTACTGTCCTGTGCTAGCACGTGCCTATGTGTAACTCCTGAGGCAAGACAGAATGATGGCTGATTCTTCCTCCTCCCCCTTCTTTCTCTGTCTCTCTTCAGTTTCAGAGACCTCACGACTATTCCCCTCCCTTTCGATTTGGCACGGTGCCCAACGGCAGTACGGAGAGAAACATTCGGAACAACTACCCCTACATGCATCAGTACATGACCAAATTTAATCAGAAGGGAGTAGAGGACGCCTTGGTCAGCTTGAAAACAGGGTAAGGATGACGGTTTCTTTTGCTCTGCAGGCCTGCCCATCCACACACCTCACAGAAAATGACTGCACGCCTTGCCTTTGTGCTTGTCTGCCCCCACTGTTGTATGTTCTCAAGAGCCGAGCTGGAAGTCAAGAAGGCCCCCAGTTGAGGGCTGCTTTTGCTAATCTGATGAGTATCACAAGCTTCCTTCTGAACTGTGTTAAGAAAAAGCAAATCCAGGACACTTTGAAATGCAGAGAACCAGAGGGGTTTCTTAAACTGATAAAGAAGTTGGTCCAACTCAATGGGATATTTTAGCCAATAGGGAGATCTAAGGAGATGGAGTTTATTTAAAGTGGTGAAAACAAAGTACTGTAAGTTTTCATCTGATTTTAGATAGGAGTTTATGGCATGTAGCTTTCTGTGAAAACTAAGAGTGTCACATTGAGGAAGGAGAAAGGAAATACGGAGAGAAAAGCTGGGAACTCAGTCTCTCTAAAGGTACAGCTAACATTTCCGTCTACCTGTTGGCATTGTGGAGGATAGCAGACACGAAATAACTGAAGCTGTAAACAGAAGACCTGTTTTATGACCTTGGACAGTTCTTCAGTCACTCTCATCCTCATACATAAAATGGGAATAATGATAGGACCTAATTCATAGGAGTTTTATGAGGACTAAGAGAGAAAATTTGTGGTAAAACATTTCGGACAGTGCCTGGCACAGAGATAGGACATAATTGCTAGTGTTGTTATTTGCTGTAAAGGTTAAATTCTATTCCATGGACTCTTCAACTTTTTGAAAAGTCAGGGAAGTGTGAAATGTGTTTTTGAAAGGGTTCCATTAAAAAATATTCTGGGGCTTCCATGGTGGCGCAGTGGTTGAGAGTCCGCCTGCCGATGCAGGGGACACGGGTTCGTGCCCCCGGTCTGGGAAGATCCCACATGCCGCGGAGCGGTTGGGCCCGTGAGCCATGGCCGCTGAGCCTGTGCGTCCAGAGCTTGCGCTCCGCAACGGGAGAGGCCACAGCAGTGAGAGGCCCGCGTACCACTAAAAGAAAAAAAGATTCTGTTTTAAATGAAAGGATTGTTTATTAAGGAAAGTTTTGCTTATCCAGAAAATTTACTTACGTGGACCATCTCAATCGTCAGGGATCCCTGGCAAGTAAAGTGGGATGTAGTGCACTCTCCTTGCCGATTAATGCGCAGCTTCTTCCTGTGGGCTGTTCTGCAGGCCCATTGCGAAGGCCTGGCTGCTTCTTTGTGTCTGGTGGGGCAGAGGGGGCCCCTCTAAGCCATCAAGCCCGGATCTCTGCATAATTTCCAGGAGCTTTGGCCAATGACATTTTGTCATTTCAGTCTCTTTGGAATCTCTTTGGTATCCCAACGGGCTGGGACAGCATTTATTTAGAAGCTGAACCCATTTCTTATCTAAAACTCATTCACACACTGCTCATTCTGGCTTGGAATGACTTTTTAAAACTTTTTACTAAAAAGCATGACAAAAAATGCAGAAAAGTACAAGTATTAAGTATACTGCTGGATGACTTTGTCCAAACTGATCTGACCATCCAGTTCAATTAACAAGATGATGTCACCAATCCCTACAACCCCCCACCACATACACATACACACACACACACACACACACACACACACACACACACACACACACA